CCTGTAAATATTTACCTCACTAGAAGAGTTCTGATAGTTGAATTCAAAACGAAAATTACTGGTCAGTTTTGATTGGTCATAAAAATTGATAAGTTCTCATTTAATAAATGCGTCAACAACCACAGTGCAATTGAATCAATAGGCAAAACGAATGGTGTTCGCATGTAATATCAATGAAACAGATTTTCAATGGATTCATTTTATTTTTCTTTTATACCCAGTGATAATCCATAATCCCCAATTATTCTACTTCAATTATGTCTATGATAAGTTAACTGGAATTACAAGAGAACAATACTCATGCATCAATAACCTGCTGTACAATAAATATAAAAAGAAATTCTTTTAGAATGCGTTCCTAAACCGTGAAACATTAATAAATCGTAATAATCCGTTAAGACAGTAGAATAAAAAAGAACCAAAGTATAATATTACAAAATAYGATAAAGTGCGTTTCACGGATTTAAGGAAAAAAATCTAATGGCGCGAATTAGTGACTAATGACTTGAATCTATCTTGACAGTCGATATATAAATAAGGAACATATTACTTCTTTTCAGGGAGCTACTTAGCTCTACTTAAGCAAATCCTAGTGTAGTGCTTCTAAGCTTCCCACATCATTCCAAGGATAAATCTATTCTTGAAGGATTTTTTTTAACTCCATAACGGTTATCACAACATAAAAGCTATAGTAGCTACAATTACACCTTTTTATAAAGGATAAATCTACTTTTCTTGAAGGAATGTCTTTTAAACTCCATAACGTTTATCGCAATATAAAAGCTATAATAGCTACAATTACACCTTTTTATAAAGAATAAATCTACTATTCTTGAAGGAATGTCTTTTAAACTCCATAACGTTTATCGCAATATAAAAGCTATTGGGAATAGCCACAATTACACCAATTTGTAGAGTCAATTAACCAATAAATTAGACTATGACACTCTAGCAATCGTTAATTTCATGATCTCGGGTATATCTTTCACTACCATACCTAACAATTTCATTTTGTTTCACGGTTATATGTCTTCACTTCGCACAAAAACCCGTGAAACACTTTATTCTCGAGGGTAATGAAACAAGCGACTACCAAAGTGTGCAACAGTGAAATATTATTCATAATAAAACATTGATTGACTTCKTAACACCCCTTGCTACGTCGTATTGGAAATCATACTAAAAATAATATCTCATGGAAAACTAAACTTCGAGTCAATCAATGACTATCAATTTCATAGTAAAACCTGGTTATATATTCATAATTCCAGTATTGACTTTGCTTTGCAATACAGAAACCAGGCAAAAAATTGAAACAATTACTTTAACCAAGTAATGTATATAAAGACGATCTTTGACGTCTTTTAAATATTTTTAAATTGAAACAATAACTACCTATGGGGTCAGAGGCTTTTCATCATCACCCATGGAAACAACAGTTTCTGTACTAGGCGTTAGCTGTGACGCATCTATCACGTGTTCCGTGGCCGGCTGGGGACTGGTGCTACCGTATGTTTTTCTCCTTGTGAGTTGAGTGGGATTTACGTCATCACCAGAATKCGTTGTATCGGCTTTAGTTCGCAACACCGGGGCTAGATAKGCTTCCTGTGTCAAGGAAATCAAAAATGACGCTGAGATTTCACTATTTTCCAGAGGCGAGTTGCTATGTRATGAACTGGCAAGTGACTGGTGATTAAGATTTTGCAGAAACAATACTGACATGAGCAAACGAATGAGGACGAATGCATCAAGTACAATGAATGAAATATAAGAAATAAAAAGAYGATGAGGAAGACGAAAGTTAAAAAAGTTTGGTTTTTATTTTTGTAGTTAAAACTATGAAGGCAACAACAAAAACAAATACAAGATTGCATTTGCGAACATGCRTGTACATTGAACCTTTACTATAGAGAACACAGAAGGCACTGACTGAGGAATCAAGAAACAAGGTCAATACTTATTATTAACATCTTTCAAATCAATTGCATCATCACTTACCGGCATATAAACCTCTGTGATATGTTCCTCTTCGTCAGTAGGCACTCTTTGCTGAAATKATAGCAGAGGTTGCATGAGTACGGTATAACTGATTATATAATACGCCGGATAGTCTCCTCTCGCAGCCGTTATAAGGTCGTTCCCAGGTCTCTACTATACTAACGCCGGAGACAAGGAAACAATACTCCAGTTTCGAATTTTGTGCAAGCTCAGCTTCTATCAAGCATAAAGTTTTATTGTCTTTGTACACAAAGTGTTTCAATTATTACTGCTCCCCAATTTTAACGTAAGTAACATGACTTGACGCGTTCTTTTTGTACAACAGGCTCCTTACAGCTCGTCGACATGCGTCTAAATCTGAGTGTGTACTTCTTTCCACCAGATAGACCCCAAGCCAGTGCATTGGATAAAGAAGATGCTTTGATAGTATAGGAAARGCATGGTCTAACTTACCTTAAATGGGCCAATCTTCTTAAAAAGACCAAAACACAGTCGTCCAATCAGTGCAACTACRGTAATGACAACCAGGAAAATCGTGAAGATAGTCTGAGGGTCGTTAATACCTGTTTAAAACAATGATAGTGACATTACTGAGAGTAACAGTAAGATTGCATTATCATATATGATTACATACATCGTATTCACAAAACCCTGTGTCACAGTTAGTAGAGGGAGATAAGTCCTCATATATTAACTATGGTCAAAAATGGCACAATTGCATTACTTAACAGTATAACACAAAGGATTCTGTGACAATTCGTACAATTCTTTCAGCAAACCATTTCACGGAAAGAGAGAATGGATGCWTGAAAACGAAATGAGTGATGGCATTATATTATGAAAACCACTAATAATATTTAAAAAGATGATGGGATATGCCCAAAAACCGTATGCATATAAACAAGGATAAAAATCTCGAGCCGGTTGCAATTTGAATAGAAAATAGTTTCAGTCAAACATTCGTTGTAGAGTCTGAATCTGATAATTGGTCGGACTACAACTAGAATGATAGTGATGCGAATAATTTACGATGATATTACTATGAATCCGTGGAYTACACGTTAAGTGGCACGATTGGTTGGCTYYTGAAGCTGCTTYACAATTCAACAATTTGTAAGAATTATAAAAACCGCCGTTTTTGCAATAAAATATAGACTATATGAGAGAAAGAGATCGGTATATGAAGACATTATTTGCATTATAACGAAAGATATGACTGATCTATTCATGAAAATACCGCATAAAGTCAATTTCAACATTATGGACTGTAATTTTACAAACTGCATTAAAAGTTCACGAGTAAGGTAGTTAGTGATTAAACTATCCAGTAACTATTAGCTATAATTCTTACATTTATTTCTTCTMAGATACACGACATAAATCAGTGCCTCAGAATTAAACGGCAGTTTGGAGCAMGGTAGAGATTKATGATCAAATYAAAACCATGCATCATAGATCTAGGGTACGACCACAAATCAACTTACTTCCAAAGTTTTCAGAAACAACATCCTCGTAAGATATCATAATTTGACTGCTACTCTCTCGTTCCTCTTGCGCAAGGTGTATTTAAAGGAGTTATATCAATAAACAGGCCAGGTCGCTGCCAACTCACCAGATTCGTATCACATATTCGAGATTCACTYGTTCTGGTCATTTTAGACGCATTTAAAAGCATATTACACGCGCATCATTTTTTTGCGGAAAAAATCGTTGCTTAGTGATATTCAGAGAAAAAATTATTCATGATATAGGGATGGCAACCGCTATTTAAATTGTAACAGAATCGCGGGCTTAGGAAGCATCGTAACTAGGCAACCGAATTAATATGGTGAGATTGTCAATAAAGAAAAGATAGCGATAACGATATCTAGTTATTTAAAACAATATGGAAAATGTTAAACATTATCACAACTGTGAAATATTTTCTATGAATACGAAAATATTTAAATATTTAGAGATTATTTTTGTTTCTTTTCTAATCGTTTTTGTTCTTTATTTCATGTCATTTTCCTCAATTTCATCGTTGAAAACACAAACGTAGAAATAAGGTTTGGGTGTTTTAATACCTAATCTGACGATTCCAAACATGARGATAGACAGCATGAGGAAGAAAGTTGAGATGACGGTAAATGATACCGCGGTYGTGTGGACACTGGGATCTACATATTTGTAGGCGGGTGATCKATAGTTGAAATACAAATTGTAGCGGTCCACTAGATGCTTTAATACCAGGTACAGTAAACCTACGAGTACAAAAAGAGGAAAGGAAAATTATTAGTGGAAAAGTCCTCTAAAATCTGCTCAAAACACAGAATAAGAGCTAGGAAACCAAAACACGTAAAACAAAATGACAAAAGAAAGAAACAGAACGAAATTTCAAACAAATTAAAAAACGAAAAACAAACAAAGTAGAACAAACAAGCAAAGAACAAAAACTAGATATCAGCGCAAACTGACAAAACCAAACAAAAAATGTGGAAAAACAACACACGCTTAAATCTRCGAATAAATCAAATAAAGAAGTGGAAAGGGAAAACATTCAACATTCTTACCAAAAGGTGTTACAAGAGGAACYGTAATAGAGTACACAGCCATGACGGAATAGATCACAATCATCCATGCATACTGATGACCAAATGCGAACTCGTTKACAGCTTCCTGTATAATAACGGTAACGGTAAATCSATTAATGTGTTTTACAGTATCGCGATAATTATTTTATACAAAAAAATCCTTTCGTTTTTTATTAAAAACTCTAGTGAATGTGCACCATTTATGTTTGTAAATTAAAACGTACTTTAATCCCAAAGGAAATAGTGGGACGACTGGGAAAAAWATATGATGAAATCAATCTACTGTTTAGCTAGTATCCTCTCGCAGCCGTTACGAGACTCATTCCCAGGAATAGCCAAATAGACCTGGAAACGAGCCTCACAACGGCTGCGAGRGGAGACTACTGTTTACCTTATTTTCAGAACCCGTCGCACGGCAATTGCCTGAATAATTTCTGATTATCAAGTGTTACATGTTGTACGTACTCACCCGTCTAACCAGTCTTTTTTCTCCTTCATGTTTAGCAAAACACATATTCACTGCGTACCGAGCTAGTTCTGGAAAACGACAAAGTTCGAGGGCGGTACCAATCAAAGCTGATGTGACCAGATAATTGGCAAAGAAAGCACCGTTGTTGGAAAGAAAGGCACACGCCAGCTGGTTTTTAAACTTATGACCAGTGAAGGTGAGTCTGACAAGGGTGTCGAAGCTATGGACAGACAGACAATGGTTAGATAGGGTTAAAAACTTGATCTGAATAACAAAAACTGTACTTCTCCCCCTTTTGCTAGACTTGATGATGATTTAGTGATTAGGTTGGCTAGACCCCAAACCCCTCTTTTAAGGTCCAAAAATAGAGAAATAGAAATTTCATTTTCTGTTCCCCTATTTCTATCCATTTAATTTTGTTCTTGAACTAGCCTCCCCAAAAAACGTTCAGGATCCATCACTGATATGTTTCAAATCGTTTCAAAAATTGGAAACCATACTATAACATACCTTGTTAAAGCCAATGAAGGAAGGATTATGACCATTAGCAATAGGAAGATGTATGTCTTGATCATGACAGAATGTTCCCTTTTTGATCTGAAACAGCAACAAAGATGTCAAATTACATGTATTAGATTTTGACAATAACATCAATCAAAATATTGAATCCTACCTGGTCCAATGTGCCTCAAAGTAGCTGGAATATGACACAATGGTTGGCAAAATAGCAGAGAAAGTCCACAACATAATGGTAGGAAGAAACTGAGTGAAGAATGGATTTGGAGGAATGCTCAACTTTGGATTTGATGCCTCTGRAATTGCACAAAGTAATCACTTTAATAATTGTTGAACAACAATATTTTGGTTTAAATGTGAAGCCCTAATGATGTCATTTATRACATAGTGTGACATCATAATGCTTATACTCAACATTATTGTTCTATAATTTTGCACCTAACTTTCTCAYTCCTGCGATAAATCTACAAAACTTTCCCTGACACGTTTTCACAGTTCACTTACGGATAGAAGCCTTGATCTGGTAGACAGCAGAGATCATGACAGTTGGTGTGGTAACAAACAGCACAAAGATCAATAATATAATGTTGATGATCAAGGTTCTTGCCCACCAGCTCTCAGGATCAACTGACARGTGCTCCCACAAGATATCTGCAGCATTTGGTGCAGGCTTCACATTCCAGTGATCAGAGAAGATCTTACGAGATACTGATGACTCAGGGCTGCCATGTTTAATAATATTGAAGTCTTTGAGACACCTGGAAGAAAAGGATTAAAACTATATGTTGACATATCAAAATACTCTTGACTACAATTTTAATCGATAGTYATGTATAGTATTAATAAATAGAAATTATCACTTGGTTTTATTGCTGTGCACACCTTGTAGCAGTTGATTCATTGACAAACGTAACAAATGCCACACCCAAGCTCTTTAGCGACTGCTTCCTCTGTTCAAACTCTGCCTTGGCCTCTTCTTCTTCTTGGGTAAAATATTCAATGCCATCAACATGTTTGGCACCATAACAAGTAGAACAKGGACAACACTTATTRGTGCTAACAGTAGTCTGAGGTCGTTCTCCAGATAGCTGGTAAAGTTCTTCACAGTGTTSTCTGCCAAGTCGTGCAGCCARTATTTTTCTTTGGACCTGGGTTAGYTTGTCACAGTCATATGCAAGTTGTACTTCTTCTATCTCAGTTTCATCGTAGACCTCTCTATAAATAAAAATGCATCCAAAACATTGTATATTTTTAAAGTGATGTTGATAAATAAGGTATGCTTTTATGTATAACTTATTTAKTTTTTTGTATGTTGGTTCTATAGAAGGGAGGATAGGAAAAGAAAGGGGATGGGAGCTAAGGGAGGCAAAATGGAAAAGGGAAATTATTGCAAAATTTGAAGCAAGTCCAAACATGCCACAGAATCCTATTAAGATATTCCCAAACTGACTTGTTCAAAACAAAACTACCAACTGCCAAGACTGCATAATGTTATATACCAGTTGTCTTCTTTAGGATGGGGAGAAACCRATTACACATAAATACATACACAAAATGCTGCTCAATGAGTTCCTTGGAGACATTCTTTGGAATATTAGTGATCATCACGGTGTGAGTTGATTCATGTTGACTTTCAAAATTAAATAGCGACATGAAATGGCGAAGAATCACAACCAATATGACCAGGTAAATAAAAGAAAACATGGAATGCAGCCAAAACATCTCCGAGTCTGGATCAAGATTGGATACTGTTGTTGCTCCAAAACTGTTTCTRTATGGCTCTAAAAAATAGTTCAYAGAGTGCATGAGATGGTTGAACTAATGTGCAGGATACACAGAAAAACCTCATCATAAATACAATGTACATAGGGCATACAGTCTTAACAACATAGAGGTGTTCAAGGACAATGTGGTGGCATGACCAATGAAGAGATGACTTTGTRAAATTCAACCAATAACTATGCAAAGGTCATCAATAATTATAATCATTATTCACACTCACAGTGTCAGTATTTAAATGATAAGTATGAAATACCAGACAAACAAGAAATATCCCATT